GGTTCTTCTTGTATTTTTAAAATGCATGATGCACAATCGAAGTCTGACAATCTCTATGACTTGTCGCTTCACATACTCAAGGCTCCTGGCTTTTCCTTGAAAAAGGCATAGATTTCGCTCTTGCCACACAAGGTACACTGTCGCCGCAAGCAAGAGCCGACCTATAACAGCTATGATGTTTTTCCCTTTGAAATTGTTTGCAAACCAAGTAATAATATTATCCCAACCAGTCACCGAAGTGAAGAATTTACCTTTGATCTGGGCAATCCTCCAAATGAACTGAGAAAACGGGTAATCGAAGAAGAAAAGATGGTCATGGGAATCCATGACATTGCCACATAATACACAAGCAAGATCCTCAGATCTACTCCAAGCCTGCATCCGGACCTAGGTCAATAATTTCTTTTGGATGGGAAGCCATAAAATAAAAGACTGTCACGGAATACAGGTGCTATTCCATACAACAGTACACCAGGACACTGCAATATTCTCAGTTGACAAATCTGGGGGTGTTCAAAAGCGGTTAACCGATTCTTTTCTAAATTGAACCGGATTTTTGGTTCGAAAAAATTTCCGAACCGAAACCAAATCGGTTAACCGTTTTAAAAAAAGCGGTTAACCGGTTTTCCCTTTTTTTTAATAAAACTTTTTTTTTTTTAAATTTTGTCCTAAATTAAATTGTAAATATAAACAATATATTGGGAACTAAGAAAAAAAATTTGGGTTGGGATTTTAGATTGAGTGAATTAGGGATTTATTTTAGTTTAGGTTATTATTTATTTATTTAATATAATATATATTTGAAAAACCGGTTTAGAAAACCGGTTTTCGGTTAACCGTTTATAATTTTTCCCGAACCGGTAACCGAACCGTAAATTCGGTTTTTTGATTTTTTCGAACCGTAACCGAACCATTTTTTCGGTTCGGTTAGCAGTTCGGTTCGGTTTTTGTATTTTTTTGAACACTCCTAGACAAATCCCTCCATGTTTGGCATGAGGAAAATCTAGCTCTTCTTCCATCCACAGTCTTCCAAAAAGTTTCATCCGACCGTAAGACCCTCGAAATAGAAGGGACTTGGTCTACAATGCGGGGAAATCTTTCCCTAAAATTATCAGGCCATCTCCACTGCCCATGTTCAAGCACGTCATTTACAGTGGCCCTTTGTCCTAGGCCTGACTCATAGAATATCCTTTGATGGACAATGAGATTAAGCGGGCCTAAAGGGTGCCAAGAGTCAAACCATAGGGANATCAATACAAAATCAGTGGACGTAGGATTTGCTACCTTAGCATCCGAACCACTTAAAAAGCCTCTTTTCATTTATTTCTGTAAAAGGCATCCATTGTCACGAGCATAAAATTCATAAAACAGTGTCACCTACGTGACAATTGGTTGGTGCGCAAAACCAGCATCAACAGAAAGAACACCTATCCTTAAGCTAAAAAACAAGCAACCTGACATGCACAAAAAGACCTCCCAGGCTGCTGCAAAAGAAGACAACCAGACCCTGTATAGCAACAAAAACAAACAAGAAACATAAAAAAAAAAACAATTGCCCACAAACATTACAATATCAGCAGTTGCCAACTGTAATTGGCTGCAACACCTCACCAGTAGATCACCAAATGTAACAACAATTATCAGATCCCCACACCAAGAGTAACTGAAAATCTAGAACATCCTTCTTCAAAATCACCACCTCCAAGGGAAAACTCAAACACTGATCTACCAAAAAGAAGATACAAAGCGCATGCTGGTGGGCAAACAACAGAGCGAAGACAGCCCTGAACTAGAAAAATGCCAACAAAGAACAGTAAGGCAACTGACCATCATGACCGAATCTTTCATTAAAATCCTTACCTAGTCATCAACAAGATCCCCTTTTATCCTCAACGACCCAACATTCCCACACCACCAATCATCAAAATATCTGAAGTAGCGCAAGTAGCAGGGAATCATTATATACCTACAGGCAAAAAAAATCTGATATATACACAAAACAGAGTCAAATTGGATGAGGAAAGATAAGAGCATATAGTAGGTCCAAAAATAAACATAAAGGCCAAAGGAGCTAGCCAGAGTGTCATGAGTCAGCCTACTAAAGATCTGAAGGCTATCATCAGAAGTATCCACTTCATAACACTAGTAATCTACAAGGCCATCACTAGCTCCAGCATGATGCAAAAAGTCACCTTTTGGTACCATCTGCCTTTTCTTCTTCCAAAGATACATTAGAAAATCAGTGAGATTTATGAACCCTATCAAAAACACATTCCTTGGGTAGATTCCATTCCTCCACCACTCTTCGGGTTCTTCTTGTATTTTTAAAATGCAGGATGCACAATCGAAGTCTGACAATCTCTATGACTTGTCGCTTCACATACTCAAGGCTCCTGGCTTTTCCTTGAAAAAGGCATAGATTTCGCTCTTGCCATACTAGGTACACTGTCGCCGCAAGCAAGAGCCGACCTATAACAGCTATGATGTTTTTCCCTTTGAAATTGTTTGCAAACCAAGTAATAATATTATCCCAACCAGTCACCGAAGTGAAGAATTTACCTTTGATCTGGGCAATCCTCCAAATGAACTGGGAAAACGGGTAATCGAAGAAGAAAAGATGGTCATGGGAATCCATGACATTGCCACATAATACACAAGCAAGATCCTCAGATCTACTCCAAGCCTACATCCGGTCCTAGGTCAATAATTTCTTTCGGATGGCAAGCCATAAAATAAAAGAGTGTCACGGAATACAGGTGCTATTCCATACAACAGTACACCAGGACACTGCAATATTCTCAGTTGACAAATCCCTCCATGTTTGGCATGAGGAAAATCTAGCTCTTCTTCCATCCACAGTCTTCCAAAAAGTTTCATCCGACCGTAAGGCCCCCGAAATAGAAGGGACTTGGTCTACAATGCGGGGAAATCTTTCCCTAAAATTATCAGGCCATCTCCACTGCCCATGTTCAAGTACGTCATTTACAGTGGCCCTTTGTCCCAGGCCCGACTCATAGAATATCCTTTGAAGCACAATGAGATTAAGCGGGCCTAAAGGGTGCCAAGAGTCAAACCATAGGGAAGTAGACCACCCATAAGCTATAATAACCCCAATATGTCTTCGTAGTACATCCCTCATCGCAAGAAGTTTACGCCAACTCCAACTAGCACCCAAGGGGTTTTCACACTCCAGAAGCTGCGGCCACGGAGCCTATAAGTGTGAATCCATTTGACCCATAGGGCATCCTCCCTAGACACCATATTCCAAACATGATACGTCATTAGGGAGACATTCCACATAGCCAAGGGTGGAATGCCCAAACCTCCCGCTAATTTTGGAGAACATATTCCTTCCAAGCCACCTTAGCTTTACCTTTTCCCACATCAGTACCTGATCTTTCTCAATCATTCAAATGAGCAACAAGTCGTATATACTTTAACTACAGAAAAAATCATTACTGGAATTAGACAAGAAGTGGAAGGAGATAACCTTGAGGATGATAATACGGAAATACCAAAAGTTTCGTATCAAGAAGCTCTAAATATGCTTGAAGCTAAAAATAATTTGGCTTTAACAAGAAGGTGTCCATGCTTACAACTTATTACGTACCTGCAAGATAAAATATGTGCTAACAACTCTAAAGCATGAATCATTGTTCCAAACAATTTTAGATAAATATTTTTTATTTCATCTTAAACATTCAATGCAACATACTATATTTTTTTGCAAGATACATATAATTATTATTATGTAGAGGCAAGTTCCTTAAAACATGACCTAGAAAAATTAAAACTTATTACAATGTGAAATTTATTCTTATTTATAATTGACCCAAGTTGGGACCATAATTTTTTATGACTATATTGAGGTTATTTCTATTTAGAGTATCACTTTAGAGAGGTTCTACTGTATTACTATTATTTTTTTTCGATTAATGTAAATTTTTAATATTAATAATATTTTGTTATATATATTTGAATTTTTCGTTACCTCACCCAAAAATAAATTTTGAATATCTTTGGGTTAAAAGTTGAAGATGTTAAGGGTGCATTCGTTTTAGTATTTTGGATAGTATTTTTGGAAAAATAAGAGTTGGCTAGTTATTACGAGGTAGGATTTAAAAATTAATAAAAATACCCCATAGGTTTGTTAATTTACTAAGCACCCCTGTAATAAAACATTAAAAATTAACAAAAACACCCCCACCCACTCATTAAATATCGGCAGCATGCCACCACCTCCGGAGGGCGGCCGGAGTTGCCGTATCCGCACAAGACTAACTGAATTTGGCCGGTCGTGCGTCGATATGGCATTTTCCAGCCAGATCCACCATAGATCTAGCTGGAAAATGCCAGATCTACAGCTGAATCCAGCCATTAACGGCCAGATCTGACCGTATTTGGTCGTCAATGACACCAAAGATATGGCCGTCGTTGATGGTCAACGATGGCCATATACGAGTAGCTACATCCAAAGATCTGACCATCAACGGCCACATCTCTAGCCTTAGATTTGGCCTTTTCCGACCAAATCCACTGTGGATTTGGCTGGAAAAGGCTAGATCGGCATACTACCAGCTAGATTCAGTCGGTAGTGCACTGTTATACTAGATTCCGGCCACCTTCCAGCGGTGGTGGCCAGAATTTGGCAAATGTGGGTGGGTGAGGGTGTTTTTGTCAATTTATAAACTTTTTTTGGGGGATGTTTAGTTAAATTAATAAACTTAGGGGGTTTAAAAATTATTGAATAAAATATAATAGTATTTTCATAATAGGGAAACAAACGTGTATTTTGTAAATGATAGGAATAGGATAAGGTAAAAATAGGGAAACAAACGTACCCATTTTTCAGGAGAATGGAGTTCAGAACCATAAACCATTGGTAAAAAAGTGGAGTCTTCCTTTACGCATGGCATGGAGAAAAATGTAATTTTCCGTACCTGTATAAATTTCACAGTACATAAAAAGTTATTGAAGCAATAATTAATCATGCACATCTCCAACAAATTTAACCCACCATGCATTAACATAAGATCCATATCACCCACAACTTCTTCTTCATTCTATCAATTAATGTTGCTAAGCATATTTCACTTATACAATATCCATGCATATATATCGAAAATATTCTATGTTAGACATTCACCGTTTTCTAACTGCAACTTCCTTCTGTGAATTAAAATACACTGCGGCAACTGGGGGTCCAAGTCCATTTTCCACAGCGAATCGGCGGGTGCTGAAATTACTACGGGCATCTGGTGGCCGAGTTCCCTCCACCATTGGACCGTTCTGCTTAAAGAGCACGAACACATAGCGGTGAATACCAGTTGGTGGCTGAGGTCCCATGTAGGGAACCAACTCTTTTCCTACGTTCAATTTCCAACCACATATCAATTCAAATACATATTAATATCACCACACTTGCATGTAAAGGATTAGCTAGATATATACCTTTTGTTGCGTCTGATCCTTCTGGGATATCTACAACAATCCTGCAACAAGTATCGAATTTTGAAGTCACCTACTGAGGGTCTTTCTAGAGATATTTTAACGAAAATTTCAATATGATGCACTAATCTATACAATTTTTTAACACAATTAACGCACTTGATTTACAACATATATAAATACAAATACAATCATACATATGTTTGCGCATTTAAATACTTTCAATACTCATTAACAAATCATTTTTAATTAATAATCAATAAGAATAACTGTGGTACTCTACCAATGAAGCCACTCCCTATATTTGGGTTCACTTGGACTTGGAGCATCAGGATCCACCATAACCTATATACAATCATCCATCACTATCAAATCATTTAACAAACATAACTTATATTCCGATACATATTCATATCTCACAGTATATGGATCAGAATTCTCAATCAATTAACTCTGTATAGTATTTTACTTTCAAAAAAAAAAAAAAAAAGAGTTACTTACAAGCGTATAGAGATTGGAAGACAGACAAGGAGCAAGAATTCGAACATGGGGCTTATCAGCAGCAACGGAGGGCTTGATATTACAGCCATTGGCAACTTGTTTTGTCCCATAATGAACTGTAAATTGGGTGAGTGGATTGAACATGTCAACTACATCTCCGATCACTCTACCAACCACCAGTGGTTCCATAGACCGAGCCATGACGATGGGGCAAGCCAGAAATATTAATGAACATACGTGCTATTTTGTATGAGTTCCGTTCTTTACAAGTTTAATTTATACAAGAAAGCTCTCAATTTTAGAGTGAGAAATGGGAGGAAGTGGCTGATGAGTGACACGTAGTGTAAGAGATTTGATGGCTAACACGTTGGTTGTCCACAATGATAGGTGGCAAGAAGACACGTGTTGTCTCTGTGCATCTCAGTCGGTTTTTGATATCCACCATCGTCTTTAATGTCAAAAATATGTGTTTTTAGACTAGACGAGAAATAATTAATAGAAAAAAAATTATCGATATGATAGGTTACAGAAAGAGACTGAAAATTGTTTAAAACCTGGGATATTATATTTATTTATATCGTTTTGAAGATTTGTAAAGAAGGTTGGATTATGCAATCTGTCTCCATTCGTTTAATCAACCTCAACATATATAACTGAAGTAATGTTTAAGAAAATTATGCTCATGTTTGTTACCTATTCTGGATCATTATTCTGTTATCCTATTTGGATTAAAAAATATGATATGTGTTTATTTATTTATTGAGATTATTATTCTGAAAATTAATCCAAATCAAATAACATTTTTTTGTCTAAACATGAAAAGAAGGGAGACTTGTTTTCAAATTATTCAACTCAAAACATTTTTCTATCCAACACTATTCAACTCAAAACAGTTTTCTATCAAACTTTATTCAACTCAAAACATTTGTTTTCCTTTCTCTCCTTCTCATTTTTCTCTCCGTCTAATCTGAAAATTAATCCACCCAAGACCACCACCACCTGCCAGCAACCACTGCTAGCGGCCACTGTCGGTCGACATGGTCGAAACAGCACATGATCAGTCGGATTTGGCCGGTCGTGCGCCAATCTGGTCAAAAATGGCTAGATCTATCTGGCTATCTAGCCGTTAATAACGGCCAAATTTTGGTCATAGATCTAGCCGAAAACAGCCATATCGACGTACGACTAGCCAGATCTAACTGATCTTGCACTATTCTGACGACTGTCGACTGCCGTCCGACTGTGGTTGCCAGCGACCAACTATCCTCTTGGGTGGCTGGGGTGCTTTAGTTAATTTTTAAACTTTTATTGTAGGGGTGTTTAGCTAAATTAACAAATGTAGGAGATTAAAAGTAATAATAAATATTTTCAGAAAATGTACCAAACACCTATTCTGTCTTAAAAACCTTTTAAAAAAATGTACCGAATAAGTATTCCAGTATATTATCCAACTCTGATATAATTTTCAGATATTTTACCAAACACATTTTCAAAATCTGATCATATTCAATTTAATCCAACTCAACTCAACTTAAAACATTTTTTTCAGAATAACATTTTTCAAATAATCTACCAAACAGGTCCATTCTACAAAGAGCATTTTTCTATATTCAAAAGTATTCTCTATAAGAAATTATGAACACTCAAATATATATATCTTAAGTTTAGGTATTTACAATAAATCAAATTAAATTTGCTACTTCTAACTGAAGCTGATCCCTTAAGATTCTCAAAAAAAGAAGCAGCAAAAGAAGTTGGAGAGCTGCAATCTTGCATACATATCATTTAATTAATCGCTCTTTGTTTAAATTCTTTTTTACCTTAAGGATGGTAAAGTGTTGTCATATAAATATTTCAAGCAAAGCTTCAACATCAAGCAGCCACTAAAAACAATGAAAACTTAAATGAGTTGGGTGAGAAGCCAATTAATTCTAACTTTTTTCTTTCTTTCCAATATTGTTAATTAACCTGCTCCCACTCAGGAAACTAGTGATTTATAATTTATTGTTAGTTTTAGGTTATTGGATAGGCCAATAACTCATTGGATCTCAACTTAATCGTCCGTATATGCCACTAAGAAAATATGCATGCACCTAGCTAATCAATTATTTTGTATAAAATAATTTCCGGAATGGCACCCTTGGATGTTTGGCACTAGTGGATTGGATAATTTATAGAATAACATTAAAAGAAGTAAAGAATTCAACCTTATGATGTAACTACATAGTGATGTTATTTCCTTGATCTCATTGAGGAATGGACGTATATTCAAAAGTCATTTGTGGCCACTTGAGCTTTGTAATATTGTAATAGCTTTGTTTGAAATGAATATGATTATGTGTTATCCAGAAGTCATTGGGAAAGCGTATCAAAATAATGTACTGCTTCAAAGTTTTTGTCGACATTGATTAGAATTCTTGCTAAATTAATACTTATTTAATTCTATTATTATATGTTCAAAGTTAGTAGATACACAACAAAACATTTTTATAATGGTATTTTATGTAGGAATAACCTTAATGCAGTGATAACAAATTTTGATTTCAACCTGAGCCAATTATAAATTATAATCAACCCCACATTGTAATAAGTTATAATTTTTANTTAGTGATTTATAATTTATTGTTAGTTTTAGGTTATTGGATAGGCCAATAACTCATTGGATCTCAACTTAATCGTCCGTATATGCCACTAAGAAAATATGCATGCACCTAGCTAATCAATTATTTTGTATAAAATAATTTCCGGAATGGCACCATTGGATGTTTGGCACTAGTGGATTGGATAATTTATAGAATAACATTAAAAGAAGTAAAGAATTCAACCTTATGATGTAACTACATAGTGATGTTATATCCTTGATCTCATTGAGGAATGGACGTATATTCAAAAGTCATTTGTGGCCACTTGAGCTTTGTAATATTGTAATAGCTTTGTTTGAAATGAATATGATTATGTGTTATCCAGAAGTCATTGGGAAAGCGTATCAAAATAATGTACTGCTTCAAAGTTTTTGTCGACATTGATTAGAATTCTTGCTAAATTAATACTTATTTAATTCTATTATTATATGTTAAAAGTTAGTAGATACACAACAAAACATTTTTATAATGGTATTTTACGTAGGAATAACCTTAATGTAGTGATAACAAATTTTGATTTCAACCTGAGCCAATTATAAATTATAATCAACCCCACATTGTAATAAGTTATAATTTTTATAATTCTTGTCTTAAGGAACTTACCACATAGTAATAATTATTTGTATATTGCAAAAAATATATGCTATGAGTTCTTGTATTAACTTTAGGTGGCATGGTTGATTTGCTAGAGGAAGAAGGAAATGTATCACTTGAATTGGTTAAAGATTGTATGGGTTTGTGTTATAGTACAATGTATTTATATAATTTACATTGATAGAAAAATATTAAAGAGAATGTAAAATTTTAGACTTTTAAGATGACTTTGCATATTCCCTACACTATTTAGATACATGTACCAGTTTTTTGAAACTATATCTATCTCTTTTATCAATGTTTATACCTTGGATTTAACATGTTCCATTAATTAATTATTAATGTAGTGCATATTTTACCTCTATATCACTTGCACTAAGGATTACTAAATCATAACAATAATTTTTGGAACTATACCTCAATTAAGTTATAATATCCTCATAGTAATAAATTTAGTTTAGTCCCTACTATTATGACTATAGAAAGCTTTTACTATACATATATATAACCTGTTTATAGTAATACTCTATATAGGAATAACCTTATATATATATATATATATATATAACCTTCATGTAATCATAAAAAATTATGGTCCCCACTTGAGTTAGTTATAAATAAGAATAAACTCTACATTATAATAAGTTATAATTTTTCTAGATCTCGTCTTAAAAAACTTACATCCACATAGTAATACTTATATTACAACAGAGTCGATCTCGTCGAAATCTTGATGACAAAACGAACAGAAAGCCACATAGGCCCAATACCCCGTTTTACTCAGTTTTTTTAGCCAATGATAACGGATCTCGATTGTGTGTGAATCAAGCACTAGTTTTTGAGCGTTTTCTTTTCTATTTAATCAATACTGAGTTTATGCATGCAACAGAGTCGATCTCATCAATATCCTGAGGAAAAAACGAACAGAAAGCCGCATAGGCCCGATACCCCGTTTTACTCAGTTTTTCAGCCACCGATAACGGATCTCGATTACGGGTGAATCGAGCACTAGTTTTTGAGCGTTTCCTCTACTGTATAATCAATACTGAGTTTACACATGCAACAGAGTTGATCTCGTCAAAATCATGATGACAAAACGAACAGAAAGCCACATAGGCCCGACACCCCGTTTTACTCAGTTTTTTTAGCCAATGATAACGAATCTGGATTGTGGGTGAATCGAGCACTAGTTTTTGAGAGTTTCAATACTAAGTTTACGCATGCAACAGAGTCGATCTCGTCGAAATCTTGATGACAAAACGAACAGAAAGTCACATAGGCCCGATACCTCGTTTTACTTAGTTTTTTTAGCCAATGATAATGGATCTCGATTGTGGGTGAATCGAGCAATAGTTTTTTAGCGTTTTCTCTTTTGTATAATCAATACTGAGTTTACGCATGTTTACACAGTTTTTCAGCCACCGATAATGGATCTCGATTGTGGGTGAATCGAGCACTAGTTTTTGAGCATTTTCTTTTCCGTATAATCAAAATTAGGTCTAGGGATATAACAAGGTTGATCTCGTCCAAAACCTGATGACAAAATGACCAGAAAGAAGCATAGGCCCGACACCCTGTTTTACTTAGTTTTTCAGCCACCGATTATGGATCTCGATTGTGGGTGAATCTAGCACTAGTTTTTGAGCGTTTTCTTTTCCGTGTAATCAATACTGAGTTTAGGCATGCAATAGAGATGATCTCGTCGAAAACCTGATGACAAAACGAGCAAAAAGCCGTATAGGTCCGATACCCCGTTTTACTCAGTTTTTCAACCACCGATAATGGATCTCAATTGTGGGTGAATCGAAATAAAAATTTTTATCTAAAGTTATTTGGAACAATGATTTATGTTTTAGAGTTGTTATCGCATCTTTAAACTTACAGATATGTAATAACTCATCAGCATATACACTTTCTTATTGAAACCAAAATATTTCTAGGTTCTCAAGTGTAAGTGTGAAGACTGAAACGGTGCCATGTTACTTAAACCAATATGAT